CAATATGATAAAGAATTTGTAAACGCAGTCACAACTCTGTCGTGTACACTGTACGGTGCGAGCGGTTATTTTATGATAGGTAACATCTACTTTTTCAGCATTTGCGGGATGACCAGTTCACACGTATATTTTCGCAGACACAACTTCGCATAAAATTATATCCAATTATTCTATAACCAATTATCTACACGGACTTCTGTCTAAATATGAATGAAATCGAGAAAACCAAATATTATATGTTTCATCCTGAAGTGCTGAGTTCTCATGCAGTATAATCATGATCCTGATAGATATCGAAGTCTCCTTAAATGATTGTCTCTGCTGCTTAATATATCTGGATTGTCGTTGGGAGGCGATGCAAATTTGTTTACTTTTAATGGGGAGGTTCTGCTCAGCAGGAGAAAGAGGTGATGCACATTTTGTATTTGTCTGACATGTAGGACTTGAGCCACGTTTCCGTAAGTGCAATAAACGGTAACGAGTGGTTTTTGGATTTCTCCTGAATAAGAGCTGAGATTTTTGGCACTTCCCATATACTCGCACTTGATGCACAGGATTCATGGACTGGACATTTAAGACGAGGCATGAGGAATAACGGGCACGTGCAGTGTATCCTCTGAGGCGGTAGGAACTGCTGGTAGTGGTATAGTGGGAGCGCTGTTCCTGGCTGAAGAGGTGGATGTGGTCTGGGGTAGTGGTAGGGCATTTGAGTTTGAGGGAGGCTGGACCGGTGGTCGACTATTTCTGATAGGAGTCCGATCCTGGTTTGCATCGTTTCCAACAGTCTCCGTAACTATAACAATCCTGTGATCTGGTATTGGTTACTTAAACTTATTTAATTGAACATGGTGTTTGACGTTGGAGCTTATCACTTTACAGTTTACATCACCTTACCTGAATAATTGAATAGGATGAATACTGAATAGCATTTATTAATGCTTTCTTTACCCGGAGAACTCTGTTTTACTTGTCCCTCGGTAACACAAGACCGTGAGCCGTGACACTTAGTCACAATAATTAAGTCATAAGTCAGAAAGAAGTCCATAATTCGTACACCCATGATTATGTTAAATATAGATTGACTCCAGTCTCTATTGTTCAATGACTTCGTCAAAATGTTTTAGGAAAATGTTCACAGATTTGTTAATTTTGGACTCAAATTAACGTTGAGAAAAACTGAATTTATTTTGGAAAAATCCCGGCTAAAACCAAAATCCCGGCCGGCACCGGTACTAAATCGCCAAATACCAGCCGGTATTCCGGCTGCGCCGGTTATATCCCGGTCGAGTTCTGTCTGAGACCTAATTTTCTCTATTTCTCGTGCAATTTTAGATCAGACACAGTCATCTAAATTATTTAATAAGAAGGTTTAAATTATAAGCAATTAAAAACAGTTGGGACTATCATTGTTTGTGAGTACATATTATACGAATATAAGGTGGTTAATATAATTATAACACATTTAAAATATAAAACATTTAAGACACATTTTTTATTCCTGCATTGTACTCATTAATTTAACTAGTAATATTATATAAAAACCACATTTCTATTTGTACAGGGAGCTGCTGGTAAACTACCGTCGCTATACATCGACTATGACTACAATCCTACTTTTAAAAACAAACTACATACATATCTCACATTTGCGAGGACTACTTCATCACAAGCAAAAAATCGACATTGGTAAATAAAGGTAGGTTCTTTTCACTGACTTCGTTAAATGAGTTACATATTTTCACACAAATTACGTGCGTGATCATTAAAGGGTTGCTTGTGTGCAGTTACTTCTGGGCCAGCGCCACCCTGTTGGGAGTTTTCACATAAGTAAATTTGCCGATAATACAATTTTACTCATTCTGGACATGTTACCTATATTATCATTATACTAGTATTTCTTCAGGTCTGTCTTCTATAACCACGATGAAAAGAAAAGCTGGGCGAAAACATTTGAGACTGCAGATTGCAGAACTGGAACACTCTATTTGAAGACAGTGGCTGCTGAGTGCTGAGCTGCATCAAATCTATCAGCATCATGTAACTTCGATCAGGAACAGACTCCATTTCATTTCCGACAACTAGCACCTGTTTTCCCTAGACTTACCAAGTATTAAGTTACTGCATTAGTATTAGGTTAAATTAAAGGCCCTACATCGAACAATTCTAACAATTAAAACTTAAATGCAAGAGTGCACAATTTATCACTAAATATCTTCCTCTTTTAATTCTAATCAACACACGGTTTCGTCTTTGTTTCACCCAATCGTGCTGATAATCAGTAATCATGCACTCTGCACTCTAACTTCGAGATGTTTCAAAAGGGCTCCCGACGAGTTGAATTAGATCAATATTTTCTTTTGATACATAGATACTGATTGGGAGGTTCATCATACTATTCTTGTCACATGGTAACGATTAACGATTAGCTGATCAGCTTCCAGCATCGACAGGCCGAAATCCATAAATATAATCAGTTGTAATTTAATATTTATCATCGTCCGGATCATCATAATATTTTAATTTAAAGTTACAATTGAACGGTGTTAAGAAAGATAATTTAAGAGAAATGTTTTGAAAGTGCCTGATTTCGAGTATAAGATCTGTACTGATACATTAATTTTCAGATTGTTATTATAGTTTATTTGTATTTTTTATATTATCTTATCCGCACAAGTTCGGAAGCCATCTGAACGCTATTGCCAGACACAGGCATATATTTATTTTGGGGTATCATGCTCTCAGAAATTTCAACTCAGTCCGATATTATAGTTATACTAACCTGCATTGCATAAGGTTAATTGTCTCGCAGTCTAGTGCATAAACCTTTTATTTTGTATAAACCCTTTATTTTGATTGGGAAAACTTTAGTTTAATGTGGTTACCGTCTCTAAAGTTGGCATGATAGTTAATAAACTCTTATCTATTATGTCACTGAAGATGACGCCTTGCAACATGTTTGACGATAGCCTGTAGATTGATAGTTTGATCTAAGTATTTACAACAATTCATCTAGTTTGATTGATTCAAAGGGAAACAAATTCCTCTCTTATCTATTATGACTATATTTAAATTCAATCCTGTAAAGTGATAATCCTTTTTTAGTAATTTAAACATGTGTTTTCTCCTTCTGATTTTTAAACTATTACCGGTCACGCTGAATAATAATGACATCAGTGAATTTAAAGCTATCGTTAACATCACTCAGAAAATGCGCGTCTTTAGCGCGTGTCTTGTTGTTATGCATCAATCCTTCGGTAGATCGGCGAGATGCACCACTGTGCCTCACCGAGCTGCGAAGGATTGACATCGTGAATCAAATGTGACAGTTATAGGCCAATAACTTCACATAGCCATGTGTATACGCGTACTGCGTGACGCGCTTGTTTCTTACTGGGCCGCGCTCAGCCTGTCATTCCGCCAAATCTTTATTCGGTTATGTTAATGAACATAATAGCCTGGGGTCCTCAGGTAAGCTTGTTTCACAAGTTGAATATATTTGCCTTCGGCGGTCGCGCGCTACTGCAAGCGAGAGGGCTTTGGTTAGAGCAAGCCAATAACTAAAAATTTGTGCGAAAAAAGCACGCGCGGCAAACAAGCGCCGTGTAGCATTTTTTCCGAAAATTGTTACACAATGGATTTATTTTATTCGCATTTTTAGACAACTTTTGGTACCAAATTTATCGAAATCGGAGAAAAAAAGTTTTGTGCTCGCGCTTGGCGCTTATTACACTGAGTCTGACTATACAGTCGGCACGCGCGGCTCACTGTCGATGGCGCACTACCTACTCTAAATTACAGTGGTCATGATCTATCCTATAGTGATAATGACCACAGTCCCCTGCAAAGAAGGAAAACCTGAGAATCCGATCGTTTGGTTCAGTAGGAACCGCGACCGACCGGAAATCCAGCTGAATCCGGATCCGGCTGGAAAAATTTGCCGGATTTTTGTCGGATTTTAGTTTTTTTTACCCAAAAAAAATCAAAAACAAAAAAAAACATTTTTTGGCTTATAATGAAATCTTGATATTAGACTTAAGAATCTTGATATTAGACTTAAGAATTTGACTGATTTCGAAGACCTTAGATTTTTAGCTTTTAGCTTTAGATAGGGAGGAGTGGAAGAAGTTAGAAGATGGTTGATGTTTTTTGTTTTCTTTTTTATGCGTTTTGATATCTATAAGGTGCCTAGGATGCTCTTTTAAAGAGATATTTCGTACTTTGAAAGATTTACTACTATAATGAAATTGAATAAAGTAGCATTACCGTAATTGTAAAAAAAAAGTAATTTTCGAAAAAATTTTGACTTAGAAAATTGTTGGTCCGAGTCGTTCTCGAGACGTACCTCCTGTATACTTATAGTATCAAAAGCTTCCGTTTCCGAGCTCGTGTTGTGTGTTGGCGTTGCAAAGGGGAGGCCTGCCTTCCGAGATTGCATTACCGGGGGGAAACCTCGAGTCCACAATTATTGTGTATCGAGGGGTAGGTGCGGACTTGGATGATGATTAATCACTCTACACTCGACTGTCACGCGTGACTTTTAAACATGTTCTCTTGGTGGCCCTGAATGACTATTCAAAATCATAGCCCTCTAATCTGATACAAACCTTAACCCTAACCCAATCTCTAACAAAAGCATATGCTGAAACCCTAACCCTAACGAGAAATTAGACTAACGGTCCTGGCCACGGAAAAGAAGAAGAACGAGAGACTTACAGACGAGTAGAAAATACTACTGAGCCCTACAGACGAAATGCGCTTCCCAAATTCAGCATTGCTTCGTCAGGATACACTACGTATCCCCCAACCATCAACAAGCCACGAGTAGAAAACCAAGAGAAGAAGACTGATCAAGATGAGTCTTTTTTATTGAAGCTCATCGAGAACATGAAGGCTGGTTTTCAGGAACAAATCGATGGCCTGAGAAACGAGATTATCATCGGGAGGGGGAAAGAGGTCCAACGCCAACCGATTCCCCAGCAACTGAACCCCACGGAGCTACCATGCCACCCCGCAACTCGAGCTGTTCCGGGACTGCACCCGCCCATCCCATACCCGTACATGATGGCACCACAGTGGTTCAGCCAGAACTTTCCACCATTGTCCTCTTAAATGGGCAGAGCGTATCTCCGGCAGCTACTAGCAGCTCTAGATGGAAACTACCCTACATCCAGGAAACCATCATCGAAGGAAGTAGCTGCCCCCCACCATTCATAGCCATAACCGAGTCATGGCTAAAGAGTTACATCTCTGACGCTCAGGTGCAGATAAAAGACTATCAATCGTTTAGATCTGATAGACCAGAGAGAGTAGGAGGAGGTTGCCTCCTCTATGTTCATGACCAGCTAGTGGTGACAGAAACCGATCACTACGAGGATAGAAGCAATAACATGGTCATGTGCTATGTTAAGTCATGCAACACCCTTTTTGCTACTGTCTACAGGCCCCCTGGAGCAGATACTTCAGGCTGGAAGAACTTACTAGACAGACTGCAAGCCAAAATAGACGCGATCTCAGAAAATACAACGGTGCCAGACATATACGTTGTTGGAGATTTCAACTATCCAGAGATAGACTGGGAACATGGAGGCTTAAGAAGTGAAGCCAGGTGTCATGATTTTATAGAGTTTATAGACCGTAACTTTCTAACACAGGTCGTAAACCAGTCGACAAGAGAAGGTAGCACCCTAGATCTTGTACTTACAAATGTTCCTAGGTATGTCGCAGAAGTAAAGGTGAACCCCACATCTTTATCAGACCACAGCTTGGTCGAAATTCAGCTTGGTTTTAATATGACTGGAAGAAAGAAGAACGAAACCAGCAAGATCGACCCAAACTCTTTCAGGGCAGTTGACTATCACAAAGCCGATTTTGTGGCAATCAGTGATTGCCTTCAGAAAGTCGACTGGCTGAAGCTCTGGGAACTCTGTGACGAGGACTTGAACGCTTTTCTGGAATTGTTCAAGCTAACAGTGCTCCAGATAACCTTGGAGTTCTCCCCAAAGAAAGAGAGTGCAGCGGAGATTACCTCAAGAAAGAGAAGAGGGAATAAGCACGTTTATGTCATGAAAAGAAGACGAAGGAAGATGAATGCTAGGATACGTGCATTACAGGAAATGAATCCTAGCTCGAGTTTAATCCCTAAACTGAAGACGGAGGTTTCACTGCTGTGTTACTCCATACAGGAAGGGACCCTTGAGAAACTGAACAAAAAAGAACTCCGGGCAGTCGATGCAATAAAGAAGAACCCCAAATATTTCTTTTCGTATGCCAAGCGTCTCCAGAAGACCAGATCTACGATCCCGGTGTTGAGAGATGAGACTGGGGCATTAGTGGACGACCCCAGTATCAAGTCAGAGTTACTTCAGAAGCAGTACCAGAAGGTATTTAGTAACCCTATGAGTGCCGATATTGATGAATGTATGAAGAGTCAAGGATTACCTCAGGGACTGGATTCCGGATTCAACGAGCTAAGCTTCACAAGAAAAGATATCATTGAAGCATTAGGAGAACTGGATCCCTATTCGGCCGCACCTGACGGAGAGATTCCTGCTAGGATACTCACAGCCTGCAAAGAACAACTTGCAGACCCGCTTACACTCCTCTGGCAGGAATCGTTCAGTAGTGGGTATATACCAGCGGAATTAAAAACCCAATATATCACCCCTATCTATAAGAAGGGGGACAGAACGGACCCAGCAAACTATAGACCAGTGTCTTTAACCTCGCACATCATAAAGACATTTGAGCGTGTAATCAGAAAAAACCTGGTTCGTCATTTGGAAGAGAACATGATGATCAATACGAACCAGCATGGGTTCAGAAAAAAGAGGAGTTGCATGACGCAGCTTCTCAGTCACATCGAACAGATCTACAAATCACTCAACAATGATGAAGAAGTTGATGTGATTTACCTCGACTTTGCCAAAGCTTTTGACAAGGTCGACCATGCAGTGCTGCTAGCCAAGCTTGGTCGATACGGAATTGGTGGTCAGGTTTTAAGGTGGATCAAAGAGTTTTTGCTAAACAGAAAACAAACAGTCGTTGTTGAAGGTCGCAAATCATCCTTCCAGCCAGTGGCAAGTGGGGTGCCACAAGGGACAGTCCTAGGACCGATCCTATTTATCCTGTACATCAACGATCTGTTGAACAGCATTAGCTATAGTAACGGATTCAGCTTTGCAGACGACACAAAGCTGATTGGGGCTATCCGAGGAATGAGTAGTGTGGAGTTACTGCAAGATGATCTCAACATAGTCATCGAGTGGTCACGTGTTAACAACATGGAGCTACACGAACAGAAGTTTGAGGTTGTAAACTACCCCCTGAATGGATCAAAAGCTCTAAGAGAGCTCCCGTTCTACCCAGAGACTGTTGAGTATACTATACCAAAAGGACACGCAATATCACCACAGGAAACTGTCAGAGACCTTGGAGTGTATGTTAGCAGCAGTAGGTCATGGGGTCCTCACATTGAGAAGACAGTTCAAGGAGCTAGAAAAATGGCGGCTTGGACATTGAGTGCCTTTAGAGACCGGTCACAAGTAGTCATGCTGACTTTATACAAAAGCATGGTTCGCTCCAAGCTAGAGTACTGCTGTCCAGTCTGGAACCCTACAAAAGTCACAGAGATACAAAAGCTGGAGACTGTACAGAGATCCTTTACTAGAAAGATATCTGGCTGCCGTGATCTCCAGTACTGGGACAGGCTGAAGAAGCTTAAGTTGATGTCCCTCCAGAGGCGGAGAGAGCGTTATTCTATTATTCATGTATGGAAAATTCCTAATGAACATGCTCCGAACGATACGGGCTTCGAGTTCAAGTCTCATCAAAGGCATGGTATTAAGGCAGAGATCCCAGCCATGAACAAAAGCGCACAGTTGTCGGTAAGAACAGATTACGACAACAGCTTTAGAGTTAGAGCAGCTCAGCTCTTCAACGTGCTCCCATCGGAGCTCCGGAGTATCACATTGCTAGACAGTTTCAAAGTTGGTCTAGGCAGATTTATGGAACAGTACCCAGACACACCACCGGTTCCGGGCTACACTCCGACAAACGATAACTCAATGCTGAGCTGGAGGAGGACGCACTCGATGCAGTTGTCCTGAGCACGCCCTGCCAAACTCACCAAAACGTACCAAAACGTACGTACGTTCCGTATATGGTCATATCATGTGATCGAGACAGTTTTTCGCCAATATCTCGCTAGGAGAGCATTTTAACCCTAATTCGGCCAAAACTGTAAAATTTCGGCCAGCTGTTCTGACATTTATAGACTTTAAGAAGGCTTTCGACAGTGTACATCGTGGGAAAATGCTTAAGATTCTAGAAGCTTACGGCATTCCAGTCAAAATCGTGCAGCTTATACGGCTCATGTACGAGAAGACAATGGCCAAAGTCCTAACTCCAGACGGAGAAACTGAATTGTTCGAGATACTTGCAGGTGTGTTACAGGGTGATACCTTAGCACCTTACCTCTTTGCAATAGTCATCGACTACTGTATGAGGCAAGCCATAGGCGATGATGCGGAGCGAATTGGACTCACTCTCGAACGTAGAAAAAGCAGAAGAGTGGGGCCCAAGATCATCACTGATGTGGACTTTGCAGATGATATAGCACTTATATCTGAGGACATGGACAAGGCTAACGAGTTCCTGCTCAGAGTAGAATCGGCGGCAGCAAGCGTGGGACTACACATAAACGAAGGCAAGACCAAGGTCATGACACTGAATATGGAGGATCGATCTAGCGACCTACAAAGTCGATCCGGGGAAGCCATAGAAAATGTAGATGATTTCATCTACTTAGGCTCCTGGATTGAGAGCACAGATAGGGAGATAAGGGTTAGAAAGGGAAAAGCGTGGGGTGCCCTACATAGACTGAAGGATATCTGGAAATACAAACTCTCAAAGAGCCTCAAGATTAGATTGTTCATAGCGGCTTGTGAATCAGTACTGCTCTACGGATCAGAAACCTGGACACTGACAAAGGCTCATGAGAAAAGTTTGGACGGGACATACACAAAGATGTTGCGTATGGTGCTGGGTATCTCATGGAAGGACAAGGTCAGCAATATAACTTTGTATGGTAGCCTCCCAAGGCTGTCAAACAAGTTACGAAGCAGGAGATTAAAAATGGCGGGACACTGCATCCGACATCCTGAGCTACTTGCCAGTGATTTAGTCTTATGGGAACCTACGCACGGTAGAGCACAGCAAGGCCGACCAAGACAAAGCTACTTGTCTATGTTACTGAAGGAAGTTGAGACAAATTCTAAAGAGGAACTGCGAACCCTGATGCGGGACAGGGATATATGGAGGGGGTTTTCTGGCGTAGATCGGACTTAGCTCCGACATAGTAGTAGTAGTAGTACTAGTAGTAAGATTTCTGCTGAGAGCTTCCTCCGATCCAAATCAAACTTCCAGTACCTCGATCGTGTCATTTGGCATCTATAGTCGACTGACTAATTGGTTGCGGGTCAGAATTTCGGTCAAAACTGTAAAATTTCGGCCCTGGAAGTTTCAGCATCAAAAACTGAAAATGGGACAAACTATGGGACAGTATGATTTTCCAATTTTTTTTCGAGATTTTGACTTCCAGTACCCCAATTTGGATTCATAACATCATCAATTAACTGACTAATTGGTTTGTGGGCAAACCTTTTATCGAATCTGTCAAATGTGCGTTCAGAAATCACAATGCTGGCAAGCATGACCGTGCCTTTTATATTCACAATACTATTTACCCCCTTTACTATTTACCCCCTTTATTATTTACCCCCTTTACTATTTACCCCCTTTACTTTTATAACCCTTTATTATGTTTATTGTTTTTCGGGCATTAAGACTCATCGAAAGTAGTTCAGCAGGTATATTTAAGTTCAAATCATTCTAATTCAATGTTAAAGATGACAGGAACAAGAAATAGTTATGTGGAGGTTTTTAAGAAATTTGCGCAAAATACGCGCCAGCATGTTATACGAAATTCGGTAAAAAACCCAAAATTGCCATATTCAGGTGCCTTAAAAACCATGTTAAAATTGAGTTAGAGATCTGAAACTTTGCAGGGCGTCTAGACGTTGACCAAATCGACTGTAAAAAAAATTCGTGTTTCAGGAGTATCGGGAAATGGGTTTTCTGGAACCCCTGTTTTACGATAGATTGTCGTGATACATATATATTCAGGGATAGACGCTTTGCCAGTCACTGACTTACTTGACTTAAGGCGGGTAGTATTCCCGAGATCCATTGACAACAGTTCTCCACAGCTTTCTGTCCTCCATCAGTCTAGCTATCTCATCTACTGATTTCAGCCCAGTATCTGCTTTTAGGTTATCTAGTAGTGTTAGATAAGGTCGCCCCCTGTTAGTATGCCCATGACTCGGCTTCCAGAGGATCAGTTTGTTCAGTGTCAGCTCCGGATGTCGGTGAGCATGACCTGCAAGTCTGAGCCTTCGTTGGGTTATCTTGGAGCTGACTTTAGGAAGATCACCGTACAGACTGTGGTTGCTGACATGGTCTCGATATTGATTGATGTTAAGGGCCATTCTTAACATTCGTGTATAGCAACCATCAACCATCTTCTCCAGCCTTTTCGTCATAGTCCAAGTCTCAGAACCGTATAGAAGCACCGACTCGACTAGTGCTGTGAACACTCTGGTCTTGATAGACTTTCTAAGGTTAGATTTCCAAAGTTTTTTGAGAGTGTGGCATGCTCCCCATGCTCTTCCTTTCCTAACCCTGATATCACTCTCACTGTCTCTGATTCTAGAACCAAGATAGGTAAAGTCTTCCACGTGCTCTATTGTGTTGTTACCCAGGGACTTGATGGTATCAGGGTTCTCGATGTTCTGAGTAATGAATTTGGTTTTCCCTTCGTTCATTTTAAGTCCCACTGTAAAAGCAACTCTTTCTACCTCTAGCATCAGCATCTCTGCCTCCTTTACAGTATCTGCTATCAGAGCAATGTCATCTGCAAAACCAGTGTCTGTTATCTTCTCCGCCTTGACTCTCCTACTCCGATAAGGCTTAATGGTAAATCCTATTTCAGGATGCTTGCTTAAGGCTTGTCTCATGCAATAGTCAAGGGCTATAATGAACAAGTATGGTGCTAATGTATCCCCTTGAAGAACTCCTGCCAGGATATCAAATAGCTCGGTATCCCCATCTGGTGTTATAACTTTTCCCTTCGTGTTGACATAGAGAAGATTAATGATATCTACAATACTGTCCGGTATTCCATAGGCCTTTAGTATTTGCATCAAAATTCCCCGGTGAAGTGAATCAAAGGCCTTCTTAAAATCAACAAACACCATAGCTACCGGTAAATTTCTCTGTCTAGCCCCCTCCAGAATCCTTCTGAGTGCCAAGATGTGACTAGTAGTGGACCGTCCTTCCCGAAAACCATTCGGAGTGTCCCTAAGTACCCCCTCTATAGCCTGCTGGATCCTATTAAGCACCATTCTATTAAGAGTCTTAGCTACGAGAGAAGTCAAAGATATCCCCCTCCAGTTTCCAGGGTTGGTCAAGTCTCCCTTTTTGGGGACCGGGATGATGTTACTTATCCTCCACTGATCTGGCGCAATTCCATCTGTCAGGGCTTTGTTGCAGAAGGACAGCACGATTTCATCCAGGTCGCATCTTTTGAGGACTTCAGGTGGTATGCCGTCATCACCTGGTGCTTTACCTTCTTTTATCCTGTGTTTAGCAGCTTTAAGCTCATCCACAGTAAAAGGTTCTGTACTGATGTTGAGTCCTTCAAATTGATTCTCGATCCTAGGATGCTCGTTTTCCACATCCGGTATACTCCCTAACAGATTCGTGAAATGCCCAAGCCAATTTTTCTTCCTTTCTTCAGCTCCGTTGCCCCTTATTTGAGTTGCACCCTTGGCCTTCCTGCCAGTTATCTCATTTATGACATTCCAACTTTCTTTGTTTTTGCATCTGTCTGCAGCCATTTCGACCCTTCTAACCTTGGCAACTAGATCTTCTTCAAAGATGTCCTGGTACACCTGATCCAGTTCAGTTTTAAGTAGCTTAACAGACAGTCGACTGCCTTCACTAGGATCCCGGTGATAGACAGTCTCTGCTTGCTGCAAGGCTGTACGCACGCTTTGAACTCGCTGATCACCCGCGAAATCGTCACGTCTCTTCTTTTCTCTCTTAGGCAGTATGGCTTTGTTGGTATCAGCAATCGCATCAACAAAATGCCCATACAGTTCCGTAACCTCACTTTCATCGGTTTGCTCGCATAAAGCAGAGTACCGATTCTTGACTTCTACTGCATATCTCTTCTGTAGGTCTTCATCCGATTTAAGTGCTCCCCAATTATACCAGGTTTTCTTGGGTTGCTTTTTTGCTCGTCGAAGAGATAGCTTGATCTTAGACAGAACAAGTCTATGATCAGTACCCAGTGTACTAAAGAAGCTGTAGACTTCAGTATTTTTGACACTGTTCCTCCACTTCTTCCTCACTAGAATAAAGTCTAACTGAGACTTATTCAGGGTTCCATCCGATAGGTGAGTCCACATCTTACCCCGCTTCTTTCTGAACCTGGTGTTTGTAATCTCCAGATTACATTCCAGGGCAGAATCCCGAAGCAGTTCCCCATTTCTGTTGGTTCTCTCATGGAAATACCAACCAAAGTCATTCTCGTCCCTCTTTGATAGGTGAGCGTTAAAATCCCCGATCACCTCCAAGAAGTTGTGAGCAGGGATCTGTGAGACTGCACACCTTAGGGCTTAGATCGGTATGAAACTTCTCTGCTGCTTCTACACTATCTGCCTCCGTAGGTCCGTAGACACAGACGAAGGTTGGTTTAGGATGACCATTTAGAGATATCTTAAGGATTCTCTCCGTTACTGGTGTTATCTCCGTAGTTGCGTCAAATGCCTTGCTAGTTAGGATGAATCCCACTCCGCCCACTGCTGCCTGGGCCCGATTCCTAGTAGCTGATGCCAGTCAAATGTAGTCAATTGTAGCCTGAATTTAAGTGTCCGTAGATTCAAAAGTATAAAAGATACAGCAATTTCCGACCACAGGTCTTAAAAATAATTGTTTACACTTCAGTTTCAATTATATCAAAAAATAATTTAACGTCATCATCACC